TTATTTAGAAGTAATATTAATAAATTATGACATCATAGCACCTTGCAAATTTTCTATCGCACCTGACTTCGCTGGTCCCAGCAGCAACCAATCAGTAGCACGCTTCGCATAGTCACTGGCATGAAGAACTGAATTCAGAATTCCCTGCCCTAGTCATATCACCTATACCTTACTTGTTTAATGAGAATGGGGTTTAAGATAAAACAAAGCATGTTCTTTTGTAACAAACAGGCTGAGATGGAAAAAGCCCTCAAGACTATTGTTTATACTTGAAAATTACTTAAATTCACAGTGAGTTATAAAATACTGATGATATATTAAGTTCTGTTTCAAAGGAAGCAGAAATGAGCCTAGAAATGGAGAAATTCCATAGGACTTAAGAGAGTACGCATTCCAAGGATAAATTTTACCAACTCTACAATTGTATTCAGAGCTTGCCATTATTAAAAGAGGAATTTCCTGAGTGCAAGAACCACCATCTAACCTATGGTTCTGTTGTGAATTAAAATAACATTTCTCCCAACTCCATTCAAATCTCCAATATCCTCATTCAAATCTGTAACACGCCTATAACAGCACGGAATTTCTCATTGCCCAAAATGGAATCCTTCCTAACAGCTTCATTCTATATGGCAGCCCATTTTTATTTAGCACCTAAACCCTGGTGAGACACTGAGGATACAAGAGTGAATAATGCAAACACTTTGATCTCAAGTTGCTCAAAGTGTAGATAAAAACACACACTCCAGTGATACTCTTCCTCCAATATCTACTGCACATGTGACCTTAGAGAAAATCAACAGGCTTCCTGGGGCTCCAATCCGTATTTAAAAACCAGGAGTGATGACCATATATTCATTAATGCCAGGCATCAATGGGAGGCTGGAAGAATTTAACAGATAAAGATAAGATAATAAAATGTAATGCAAATGTTATGTACTAATATAATGTTAATGTTGATACTTAGCTACTCTCGCTTTATAGAAAAAGAGACATATACAAAGCAATCCAGTCTGACTTTTCATATGTCAGAAAATTTCCTAACTGTAAAGAAAATGGAGCTGGATTACCATGAGAAAAAGCCCCAGGATGTAATTCTTTTTAATCACATAATAATGGAGCAATGTATATCTCAAGAAAACAATCATTTTCTAGAGAAGAAAAGAGAATGATAATAGTTTTTGAAAACGGTTTTCAAACACATCATAAAATATAACAACTTCATTATGCAAACTTTATTTCATTAGGCCTAAATTCAAATAAGAAGGATTTAGTCCTAAACCAAAGCCGCCCCAAAGCTAGTGGCACCTTCTCATAAAGTAATCATTAGCAGACAGACTCACTTAATTGGTGGAACTTAAATTCTAAGTTTTTACTATATACAGCTGCTAGATTCCATTTGCATGTCTTGATCCATGTGCTATCCAAGTTTGTTAATGAAAAGTCATGTTTAGAATGGTTCAAATGTTTTTCTCAGAAAATCCAAGCCTTCAGCTGAAAGCTATCAATGTAAGTGCTTGTGTATATTCTTGCTGAGAAAAGCGCTAATTGTTTGCTTATCTATTTTCAGGCTTAACTCCTAGGTTGGTCTCACACTTTCTATTGATCTGATTTCCTTCACTGGTGCTTTCTGCCCCTGAGCTCACCTAAAGGATACAAGGGGAAAGATTAAACACACTTCTCCACAAAGGGAGAGGCTTTTATTTTATTAAAATTTAAGATTAATAAAAATTAAAGTTCCACAGTTGTTTGAATCCATGGAGGTGGAATCCATGGATATGGGGGCTGACTGTACTGCCACAGCATTATGATTTCCTCTCATTTGATCTTGGGGTCTCTCTCTAGAGAGTGTGGGCACAAACTCCAGCCTTGTCCTCACAGAGCTCCAGATAATGAGTTGTGGCTGTTCACAGTGTGTCTTTCATGGAATACTCTTGATCCTGGTCCACGACCTCATGCCTAGATGGCTGACCATGAACAGACATTTCTCTCAAAGGGAATTTGTTCATATTGGCTGACGCCCTTGTGGCATTTGTCTGACCTGTGTCCAGTTTATTCCTATAAGATAGCTACTCCCTATGAAAATCCTGTACTGGAAAAAAAGTTAGGTTTAAATATGTCAGTCAGGTGAGACACAAAGGAAGCAGCAGAACAAAATCCATGAAATAATGGAAGCATTTTTATTACTTACGGATCCCAGAGAGAAAAGAGCAGCATGCGCCAATGGGAAGGGGAACACTCATGCTCAACCAGTGGGAAGGGAGAGAGAGAGAGAAGGAGAGCCAAAGCCTTTTTGGGATCCAGGGTGTTAGCCAGGGAGGTTTCCCAGGGGAAGTTCTAACAGGTTGGTTTACAGCAAGCAGACATGAGTTCCATGGGGTCTTGCTGTAACTGACAGGTAGTCACTGTGGAATATCTGCTTGTCCACATGGGCCCTGGGGGTCGGTGGGGCAATCTTAGTAGGTTGCATCCAGCTGTACCGTAGAGAGGTGGTCACCAGGAGGCAGTAGTATAAAGCAGATATCTGGATCAACCGCATTGAGGAACTGGGAAGAGGTAGAGAACTGGAAACCTTGTCAAGAGTGATTGATCCCTGCTTCCAGTATGAGAAAGTTACACTTACACTCAAAATTGATGCCAAGGCAACATGAAATCATAAGAATTTACCATACACACACATATGTGTGTGTGTGTGTGTATAAAATTCTGATTTTATATATAATTATACATAATATATCATCTATTATATATAATGTGTATAGATTATATATACATATATATTTCATGTATATATTATATATATATACTTAAATAAAATCAGAATTACTGCTACAGGAAAATCACATTTAAAATCATTAATATTTCCCATGAATACAACTGAATATAGCTGGGAATTTTCATCAAAGTACATTCTGATAGGAATTGATCAAGGAATGAAAATTTCATTTTTGACTTACAAATTATGATTAAAACCTTAAAAATAATGCCAAAAATTCATATTATTTACATGAAAACAAATGTAAGTGTTTTTTTTTTTTTTTGATATCTTCTATTTCTAATCATTTACAATGAAAATTTCCATGGATATAAGTGATTGAGAGTTACCTTCATTGCAGTAATATTCCAGACATATACATGTTCAAGAACTTCCAAGCATTTCAAGTGGATTTTCTTTACCATATCAAAGACACAGATTTTTCTTAGTGGAGAAGATCCCAAAATCAATCCAAAGTTTGTTTGTCCTTTCTGTAAGTGAGTTTTAAATGGATCGGAACACCAATTTCTGAAGTAAAATTATTCTGAAATTATGACAGCATTTAAATAAATCAAGCACTTGGGCCATTTATTTAATGTTTACTAAAATCGAAAGAACCATGCCTTTTAGAAAAAAATTTCTGTTTGTGATTGGCTTTAGCAAATATGGTAACCTATCAGACATAGCAGAACCAAAACAAATATAAATAAAACTTAAGAGTGCAAAGCAAATACACGACAAGCAAAGAAAAGGTAAATTTCCCTCTGCCTAAAAGGGCTTTTGTGCATATTTGCAAATATAAGTCACCCTCATCCTCAAATGATTCAAAGTCAGTTACCCACATGAGCACTTTCCTGGTGCTTCCCCTCTCCCATCCCACCCCCAAGCAAAATTAACTCTCTTCATCTTACAAGTTTTATGGATATTTGTGGCATGTTTTGTGACATGATTATCTTCTACCATCAATTACAGCTTTTCTGCTTACTTATAAGATCACCCTAAGTAGACTGACTTCCTTTCATCTTGAATTCAAGGTTATCATACAAGGCCTTGCTCAAAACAGCTTCTCATCAGTATTGGTTAGACTGTATTAAGAAGATATGTTTTCTGGCATTGGCCTTTTTTTTCTATCCTAGAGAACTAAAAGCTATATTTTCTCAAGTGATTTTTAAAAATTCTAACACCCCATTCATCTGAATGCTTTTCACCAATGGCTACTTGGAGATACTTCAATCATAAATTATTAGCTTGCCTTATCAGTCAAGCAACCCTAAAGTCTAACTTTCATATGGATCTGGGTCAAGTGTCTGCTACTGAAGCTGTTAGGGAAAACTGGTGATTTCTAAAGAAATGATTGTCCAGTCCACAAATTGGGAGCAGATCCTTTGCTGCTTCTTTCTCTGCCACTGACTGGATAATTAGTTCACAGCAAAATCTTAATTCCCTCAAGGGGTGGATAGGATCACCCACAAAAGGAAAGCTGTTACATGGTTGCAGCTCTGAGAGAAAATTTAAAATATACATATTTAATGAAAGCAAAAGATTCAAAACTACTATGTAAGTGAGATTTTGTGGACCTAAAGATTTTTCCTTAGCTCATAAAGATGTAACTATGTAAACAGAATACAGATATAGACCTATAGTCAAACAAATAAAATTTGTTTCTTATACTATTGAAGTGAATATAAACAATCATTGACTCAACAGATACTGTTTTTGTATCTACTGTGTGCATTTTTCCTGCCTTAAGAAGATAATTGAGTTGGGGAAGAAAGATAGACAAGCCTGAAAGGTTAAATAATAATATCTAACAATGGTATGAAACATGTCTGAAGAAATAAAAATATCTGGCAAAGATTTTGATCTATGTTGGTCCTACTATACTAATAATCTATTATTAGTATATTATTAATAGCTCTCATTACATATGATGTTAAATTTTTGTTATAAGTACATTTTTATCCCCATTTTACAGGTTAGGAAACTAAGGTCATGAGAGGTTGTGTAGCAATATGCAGCAGAGACAGGATTCACATCCAAGCCTATCTGAGCAAGATCTAAATTCTTGCCATTATACCATAGGTATTTTTTTCTATATTTTGGGTCAAGTCCATAGCCATTGGCAGTTTATTTTTTTATGCAAATACAAACAGTGTGTATTACTGTTTATTTTCATTGAGTTTTGAATTCATTTGGAATATTGGCCTTTTCATTGAGTCTATATGAATTATTTCTTTTTCTATAGGGTTGTGATACACAGATGATTTATGACATGTTACTAAGATTGAAATCCATTCTCTATTTGCCTGGTGACTTTGTCTGCAAAAAGGTGAGTGAATGTTATTTTTCAAATGCACAACCAATAAATGAATTTGAGGATTTCAGACATAGATCAAGAGCATTGTTTAAACAAAATTTGTCCTGGGTGAATTCCATAATCTAGAAATAATTATGATATATACCCCTGTATAGCAATAATGTGCTCTCAGAGTTCACAAAGGAACAAGACAATATGGTTTTCATTACTTATATTATAGGATAGAAGTGTGGGTAGTCTGAAAAACTGCTTTGTATAAATGTTAATTATCAATTGTCACAGCTCATTAATTTCAAATATTTAAAGTGAAGGAAAAAGTTACAGAAGCGATAGGTGGTTCAGCCTTTTTTATGTCTTCAGCAAAATATCAGTTACCTTCATTTTGCTCTCCCAAGTAGTGAATAATCAATGCCACATTTTTTTAACTGTACTGTGCTTTTTTGTGATTACAAAGTAAGACACCTTCATTATTTTAAAATAGAAAACACATAAAAACATAAGGATATAAATTCCAGCATCCAGTAATAACCACTGTTCATATATTTTGGCCTATCTTTTTATACTGACTGATGGGTACACTGACCTTGTGTTATAAAAGTGGCATCATACTGTACATATGTTTTAAAATATGTTTTGTCATGTAACAATATATCATATGAACATTTTGTATATTAAGTCATCTACAATATGATTTTTTAAAGCTGCATGATATTTCAGTCTATGGATGCACCAGGACCAATTTTTAAATGTTTGCTATCATAAATAAAATGAACATCCCCACAGATAAATATTTTTGCATATTTCTGATCACTAACTTGAAGGGGAAGAAAAGGAATGATGACCCTGGGATTTATATCATGAGAGACTAAATCCATGATAAACTCAATAATCAATATTTAAAAAGAAAGATGAGCAGTTCAAAAAAATGCAGGATGATCCAGGACCTTGGTGAGTACACAGTGAATAAAGATGAGAGGCACTTTTATAATTTCAAAATAATGTGTTAAATGCTATGGTCAAAGTCAGCACAAGCTGTCGTAGGGCATAAAGGAGGGGTGCCTGTCCCTCTTGGTTACTGGTAAGATTTCCTAGAGAAGAGGAGGTCTGAGCTAAGTCTTGACAAATGAATTGGAGTAAACTAAGTGAAAGGAAATAGGCATTCTGAGTAGAGGAAGGGTGAGCTAAGTTGAAAAGGACGGAACTGTGTCTGTAGAGGGAAGGCAGAGAATAAGGTAAATGTTAGGACAATTTTATAAACAGAAAATATTTCTTAATATGATGAGCCAGAAACTGTGCTGGGTACTGAGAAAAAATTAAAAAAAAAAATAAATATATGGTTCCTGTTCTTTAGGGGCCTGCCTTTCTAGTGCCATGGTATTCAACTCACAGAGCACATCAGAATCACCTGAAGAAGTCTGGCCTCCGCCCTTCAGTGATTCATTTGGTCTAGATAGAGCCCATATACCAGTATTATTTAAAAGTTCCTATGTGATTCTAAAATGCAGTCAAAACTAAGACCTACACTGGCTTGATGGGAGAGAGAAGCAATAAACAAGTGAAATTAAGTAAGTGCATAATTCCGAAATGTGCTAAGTTATTTAAAAGGAAAATGGAAGTTGCCAGAAGAGTATGTAGTGGCAACGACACTTAATTTAGATCCAGGATTGGGAGACGGTGAGGTTATTAGGTTATCAGGAGTGACCTTTGAAAAATCTAAAGAGAAATAGTTCTTTAGTTTTAAGAAAAAAAAAAGTGGACAGGATGGCATTTTTTATGAAGACTTGGAGCCATAAGCCAAGAGGCAAGATGGAGCTTGGCATATCCAAGGAACAGAAGGAAGTGAGTGATGGAGACTGTGGTGAAAGACAAGGTCAAATGGAGTATGAGGCACTTCAAGGCATCAGATGGAGATGTCAACTACACAAGGAAAATCAGTCTAATGAGAAAGGATGGAACTGGGGGTTCCTGGGAACTGAAACGTGAAGGAAGATGAATTCAAGAGAAGCTCAAGGAAAGGTCAGAGAAGAGGGACTTGGTTCTAACTTTGAAGAGCTGCGGTGTTTGTGGAAGAGGTCAATAAGAAGAGTTAGAGAGGGCAACTAAGTAGGAGCTTTCAGAGATGAAGGGGGAAAATGGAAGAGAGATTATGATAAAATGGGAACCGAGAATGTACAATCCCACACAAATTAGTCCAAGTTAAAAGAAGGCAGATTGGTGATATGAAATCAATTTTATCAAAATGGGAAATACAAATCACAGTGCACTCTAAGGACTCCTTGGGGGCAGTGGCACACTGGAATGACATGACTTTAATGTGCCAAAAATGTCCTTTCATTTGGTGTGAGTAGCAGATGAGATTGAAAATTGTAATAATTCACATGAACTTTAGCACCTGTGCCCCTAAGCAGTGCAAATTTGCTTAACAAAGTATGAAATGCAGAGCAGATGCAGCCTATTTCTAATTTCTTCTTCACGTCACACCCATCACTCAATAACAAAAACAGTGGAGACAAATGAGGCAAGAAAAGAAATAAGTAGGTGGGAGAGAAGAAACGAGGAGACACTAGAATGACAAGTCACATTTCTTTAGGAGGGGAATTTACATGAAAGTAGATACTGACAGAAAAGAAAGTCTGTAGCTTGACAGGACTTCAGACAGATGAATTCAGCTTTGTTTTGCTTATCATTTTCACAAAATATTGAAAGCAAGGGGAAGGAAAAAAAATATGTTCAATTTGAGGTTATTTATATCATTTAAGAGATGACAGCATTTGGGGCCAAGTTTGCTGACCTATCTCATCCCCAGGATGGTTTAGAAATTGACTGACTGGTACCTTGGGCTGGTTCAAAGAGTGGGAGTTTTCTCCAGATGCTGTATGGTAGAGTAAGAATCACCTATGTTAAAGCACCCAAAAATTTTGATTCGTATTTCTGCAGTGAGAATTCTCAGTGAACTGAGAATTTGCACCTCTAAACAAGCACTTAGTGATGATGATGGTGCTGATCCAGGAACCACACTTTGAGTAGCACTGCTCTTTTCTGATGGGGTGTGCTTGAGTGTCATAAAGTCCCCATGAGTCTCAGAAATAGCTTCCTACACAGGAACCCTGAAATTTTGAAGTGCACTATCTCCAGGGGTTACCTCAGTCTACATGAAGCTCTTGCATTTTCATACTTTCTCCAAATTAGTCCACACACTAACAACCAGGGCTTGGTTCAATCTTATTTTGCACATGCTGTCAGCCCTTATTCTCTGTGGAATGTCTACTTCATTTGAATGCTAATTAAACTTGCAGTAAAGGCTTAAATGAGGCTAGAAATATGTAAGAAATAGTGGAAGTTTTGGTTCGTTGATTATGCCAGATCTCCTTGGAAAATTATTGAAATGATCATTAAAAAATAATTAAAAGAGCCGAACTATGTTTAAGTACCCACTTTGTACTTCTACCTCCAGTCAGTTGTAATAACTGCCTTTGAAAAATCATTCCCGTTCCTTGAGAATTACTTCATGCAAAGAATAAGGAATATGATCCTGTCTTCCTCATTACTTCCTAAAGTATCTCTTGGAAAACTAATTTTCAGACATCTTGCCTTATTTTTAAAATCATTCATGGCTATTTTATTGGTTTTTAAGAGATCAGTACTGATACTGGAGTCACAGTTAAATATGGTCTGTCTTCATGTGTTATATAGAGTCAGATGACATAGGCGCTGCTAGCTCTAGTGCTGTCACCTGTGGGCCTGATAAGTTTCCTCAAGACAGTTAATTTTTTAAGCTTCTACTACTAATTTTTAAATAAGAGTAATGATAGCTTTCCTGCTTGACTTCACTGGGATTTTTGCAAGAATTAGATGAATTACTATCTATGAAATGCTTTGCAGCTATAAAGTAGCATGTTCTGCTAGAACAAATATAGGAATTAAGGAGCTATGTAAATGTCAGATAATGTAACAATATTTAAAGTAATATGCAAAGACAAGATATTGTTATTAGCATTGATAGTATGTAAATAACTATAATAAGATTCATCTATATTGGAATTTCTACTTTGATCTGTTTTTGAGTATAAATATATTCTTAATATTTTGCACAGGCCAGATGCAGTGGCTCAAACCTATAATTCTAATACTTTGGGAGGCCAAGGCAACAGGATCACATGAGTCAGGAGTTTGAGACAAGCATGGACAACATGACAAAACTCTGTCTCTCCAAAACAAAAAAACTAAAATTAGCCAGGCATGGTGACTTATGCCTGTGGTCCCAGCTGCTAAGGAGACTGGAGTGGGAAGATCACTTGAGCCCAGGAGGCAGAGATTGCAGTGAGCCAAGATCATGCCATATCACCTAGCCTGGGCAACAGAGCATGACTCTGTCTCACAAAAAAAAAAAAAAAAAAAAAAAAAACTTAAATAAAAAAAGTATTTTGCATAATGCAAAATGTAAACATATTTCCTGCTTTGCTCAGTTAGGAGATGTGGGTTCTAGGCTTCCTTTGCTTCTAATTACTGGGTCATACAACTTTATCTAATTGGCTAAGCCAATCTGTGCTTTGTTTTAATTTCTGTAAAAAGGAAGTAATAGTACTTACTCTACCTTCCTTATAAGAGTAATGGGGAGATAAAATGAGAATTTCAACTTCCTGAATATTAACTAAAAGGTGGAGTCTGATAACTTTAAACACAACCTGGCAATTATAAAGCAATAATAGTTGATGTTCAGGAAAATAAACCTAGGTATTGAAGAATTTTAAAATCTCCCAGAGAATACTTAAGTTATATTTTCCTCATTCCTAAATGATTGTCTTCTATATGTCAAACCTGTGTTCAGCACTGGAACAAAGTAGACATTTTCTCAGCCATCTAAGGGAGTAAACTACAATCAATATTTTTTTTCTCCAAAGCATGATACAGGCTAAATATTTTTAAAAATAAAAATTTTAAAAAATCTTTTGGGCCGGGCGTGGTGGCTCAAGCCTGTAATCCCAGCACTTTGGGAGGCCGAGGCAGGTGGATCACAAGGTCAAGAGATCAAGACCATCCTGGTCAACATGGTGAAACCCTGTCTCTACTAAAAATACAAAAAATTAGCTGAGCATGGTTGTGCGTGCCTGTAATCCCAGCTACTCAGGAGACTGAGGCAGGAGAATCACCTGAACCCGGGAGGCGGAGGTTGCAGTGAGCCGAGATCGCGCCATTGCACTCCAGCCTGGGTAACAAGAGCGAAACTCCATCTCAAAAAAAAAAAAAAAAAAAAAATCTTTTAATCTTGAGTTGATTTTATTGTATTATAATTCTTTCAAAGTATGGTTAATGAGAATATTTGATTAACTCAAATTACCCAGTCCCCTCCTAAGCCAAGTAAGTTAATTTATTATATTACTTCTGTTTTTTTAATAGCTCAAGGTAATAAAGGCACAACTCATTCAGACATATAAGTACTACTATCCAAATAGTTTGCCTCGTGTTATGCAATCTGGCCTGTATAGAGTTTAACAACTTTTCTTGACCTAAGTGCCATTTAGATCTCTTGTAAGACATTTATTCATTTTGGAAGTTAGAGTGAGAAGCTATGTTCCAAGGGCCTCATAACCACCCACTAGTTTGGTGATTTACTTGTAAGAACTCATACAATTCAACATAAAGTTATATTTATGGCTTCAGATTTATTACCGCAAAGGATAAAATGCAAGAATAGCAAGAAAAAGATATACACAAGCAAAGACTAGAGAAATCAGACACAGGCTTACTAGGTCCTATTTCTATGAGGGTCACATGGATGCATTTTTCTCTCCAGTGGATGATAGAAACATGAGCAAAACATCTCCACCAGGGAAGCTCCGTGATAGACTTGGGTCAAGTGTCCTTAAATGTGGCATATAGTTGCATGACCAGACATGATTTGAACACCAAACTATGTACGAGGTACAAATCATAAACCTTTGTGTTTATATTAAATAGTGTTGACAGCCTGGTACATCCTGCTACACTAGCTCAGGGATATAGAATAACACCATTAACCAGTGGCAATGTGAACATTCCAGGAGTTTAATTCTTAGGGTTAGAACAAAGATCCTTGCCCTGGTCCCAAGAGTCCCCAAAGATAGGCAAGAACTGAGTAAAACAACCTGCTGCATTAACACTTTATCTCAATGTGGGATACTAATAATAGCTCAAAGATTTCCTATGCCCCAGTTCCCCAAGTTAGACCTCAATGCCATGGGTAGAAGAGTAGAACTGACCTTTGAAAGGCTGTAGTCTATGCTTTTTGGCTAGACCAAGCAACTTCTCCCAATCAAAGCCAGGCTCGACAATGCTTAAAACCAATTACTTCCGCTACCCAGGGTCCTTCCTAAAGCAAAATGTCTTCATGTATCCAGGGCAGGCAAACAGTACTGAAACGTTGATAAGTACCATCTTCCTAATCATTTCCTTTCACATGATATGTCCAACCAATGTCAGTAAATACTTCAGGTCTTAAGATAATTACTTTTACATTAATGTTCTTGGCTTCCTTCATTTATATTTACTCTTCTAAAAGAGTTTGTATTTCTTAATTTATAGCATAATTGTCAAGAATAAAGTAACTATAATTTCCTCTTTATATTTGACATGTAGGGTGAAATTGGCAAGGAGATGTATATCATCAAGCATGGAGAAGTCCAAGTCCTTGGAGGCCCTGATGGTACTAAAGTTCTGGTTACTCTGAAGGCTGGGTCAGTGTTTGGAGAAATCAGGTATCTGGAAGACACTTCATAAATATTGAAGTCCATCATTTGTCATAAAAGAAAGTCTTAGAAAGTAATATAGGTAATATATTACCTATATTAGAAAGAAAAGTAATATAGGTAAAGTTCCTGCTCAGATGTATTAAAGGTTTGACTGTGCTGAGAGCATTGGTAAAATAAGGATTTTCATACTTCTGTTCATCCCTTCACCAAAAAGACCTGAGGAAAAGAACTGGGTCATTTAGCGCTTTAGTCCAGGACCTAGAGCAGTGCCTGGCATAAAGCAGGTTCCCGGTATATGTTGAATGGATGTGCAATTGAATGAATTAATAAGAGAAGAGGTTTGAAGGGTTGACTATTACCAGATTGCTGGAAGACTTGAATGCCTTGCTAACAAGGGGGTCTTGAGTAGGCTAGTGATGTGATCATAGCTGTGGGACCAAGTTTCCTGAGTCTGAACTCCAGTTTCAACACGACTAGCTTTTTTCCTCTGTTACTTGTCCCCTCTGTTTCTCAGTTTCCTCACCGTAATAATTAGGATAATAATAGAATGTATCTTAAAGGGTTTGTGAATGAGTTAATTCATCAAAACCACTTAGAACACTTCCCAGGATCTATTAAGAGCTCGATAAATATTAACTATTTTTACCGTTATTTCCTATTGGCCAGGAAAAGTTTATCCTAGAATGAGGAAATCCCCAAGAGTAAAACTATAGACTGCAAATTTAAGCATTTTGTGGGCTAAACACTTCTGTGTGCATTATCACATTTACATTTATTCATTATTCAACCAAAATGTATTCATTGAGAGCCGCTAGGTATTGCTCTTCACTCTGGGAATAAACTATATAAAAATAGTAGACAAGATATAGCCCCTCACAGAGCTTACAAGTCTAGTAGGGGAAAACTGATAATAAAGAGTTAATTAACTAGACAAAGTGAATTCACATTGTAATAACTACCATGAGGGAAAAACGGGTTAGAAAGTAACAGGACCCTACTTAGATGCAGTGGTCAGGAATGACCTCTCTGGACAGAGAATATTTGACCTGAGATTTGAAAGAGTAAGGGATCAGCCATTCAGAATTGGGGAAGAGCCTCTCTGATTAGGCGAAGGTCTAGAGGTAAAGCAAGTTTGTCTGGTCAAGGGGCAGAAAGGTCAGTGTGGCTGGAGTTCAGTGAATGAGAACACTGAGGAGAGAAGGCCAAACAGGTGAGCAAGGCCCAGATAACACATGGTCTTTCGGGCCACGGTAGGAATTTGTCTTTTTCTAAATATGAATGAATGCCAGTAGAGGGTTTTAGGCAAAAGAATGACACACTCTGAATTATTATTTTAAAAGACAACTTCAACAGCTATGTGGGAAAGACACAGTGGAGCAGCAAGAATGAATAGAGACCAATTGGAAGTCAACTGTGATGGTTTGAGTGAAAGATAGTGGTGTCTGGCACTGGGATACCAGCTCTTACGATAAATAGAAGAGTACCCTGTCAGGCAGTTATTCATATATTCATTTCATAACCAAGAAAATTGCTATCCCAAGATGCTAAGTATTGTATCTTGCCCAGGACACCATAGCTAATGAATTAGAGGAACAACATTCAAACCTGGGTCTCCATGGATCGGGCTCCAGTGATCTTTATTCCCCATCACAGAAGAAATTTCCAACCTCTAATTTCATAGCAGCTAAGCAGTTATCTTTGTGTTCCAGAAATATGGATAATTGCATATGCATCCTTAGGGTTTCTTTGGAATGTTGAGGCATGTTACTTCTCTGTTGGTAAAGTGGCTTCTCTTTTTAATTTTTCTCCTCGTTTAACAACTGATTGTTGTTAAGGTGATCCTCTGAGAATCTTGCTCTTGGGCAGTGGTGGAAACACTTCTCAGAATGTACAAGAACTGAGCTCTTTGCCTGTTTTCTATCATTTCCTTCCTGGCAGTCCTTGCAAAAGTGATTTAATATTTTGTGACTTAATAATCACTGTAATCTTCAAGGTCATAAAACATGCAATAGTTTAATCTGAAACACTGCAGAAATTAATTAGCTGACCTTTCCCAAGGGTTGAGTACTCCCTGAAGAATAAGCTTTATAAATACAAGTATGTTAATTGCTGATATTATCATCACAGGAGGAAATACCCTAGGAATTGAATCCAGGTATTGCTGAGTTGCAATTGAAAGTAATCCTAGATTCCTGACATCAGTTTCTCAAATAAATCTCCTATTACCCATCTGGTTTCTAAGGACAAATTGAAACCAGTAGAACAGACAAGCTTTAAACTTGCTCAGTTTGGTTGATTCAAAGAAAAGGGAGCTTTTTGCCTTGATTCTCTTTTTGGCTATGGTTATGGGGAAACAGGATGCATCTGCCTCTTTCCAGATACCCACAGGCTTCACAGGCCCACAGCTGTCACACGCCCCTGAAGCTCCAGTCATTTATTCCAGAGCTGGAGGCATGCCTGCCAAACATCTAGATACTGGAAATATCTAGTAATAGTGTTTACTACTCAAAAATGCTGTGACCTTTGTTAAAATGAGCTAAATCCAGCACTATCATGTAGCCTTTAAAAAAGAGTTCTTTTTCCTCAGGAAAAAAATAAAGAAAAAAATTAAGGGCTTTCAAGGACATTATATGTTAATCCAAAAGCGCAAAACCCTGACTGAAATATAGATTTACAGCCTGTCACAGAGAAAACCCAGACCACATTTCCAATTAACATGTGAAGAGAGCAGATGCCCCATGTCTAAAAGAGAGACCCAGGGTCTGCTGAAGGGTGGCCTTGTGGTGGTTCCGACTCCATCATTTTCCTCACACGTACATTTAGTCCCAGGTCTTATTCACTGAATGTATTTAACCACTTCCTGTCTGCATTCTGCATGTGTTGAAATGTCATTTTTCTTAAAACACATCTGAATTTTTATTCTTGTGTTGCCATTATGATTTCAATAGGATTTTCTATTGGTTTCATCTCTCTTTGGAATATCCTCCCCCTGGAAAATTTTCATTTATCCTTCAAATGCCATCTTTTTGAAGCCATCTTTTACCCCTAAAACAACTAGTTGGCCTTTATTCTATGCTTCCATAGCATTTTATTTATGCCTTTACGACAGTAATTACTACTGATTTATAATTGATTTGTTCAGAAAGATCTCTCCAAAAACTGAGCTATTAAAATATAAGAATTCATCCATTTTCATATCATCAGCAGCTACATAAACACTATATACTAAGTGGTGATTTTTACTTACATCATGCCTCCAGAAATAATTTGCAGCAGTTCATCAGCAATTTTAAATTAATTAAGTTCTTAATTGTGATTTGATAGAAACAAAAGAAAATTATATTGCATTCCCTTACAGCATAGTGTGAAAGGAAAGGCCATGTATTCCTTCTTTGCCAGGTACAGTGCCAGTCATGCGGGTACAAAGGAGAACAAGAAACAATCACCATCCTCAAGGGCCTTACAAGAGACTTCAATACCTAGTAATTAAATCAGGTGTCCTCAAACTTTTTACACAGGGGGCCAGTTCACTGTCCCTCAGACTGCTGGAGGGCTGCCACATACTGTGCTCCTCTCACTGACCACCAATGAAAGAGGTGCCCCTTCCTGAAGTGTGGCAGGGGGCCGGATAAATGGCCTCAGGAGGCCGCATGCGGCCCGCGGGCCGTAGTTTGGGGATGTCTGGATTAAATGTATGGATTGTGTCCCAGGAAGACAGTGTGTACAAGATGATATGGGGAACAAAATCTTCGCAAGGACCAGTGCATCCTTTGGATCTGGCAGTTACTAGAGGTTATTTGGGAACCTAAAGCTGAACCTTCTGTGGTTTTCAAATGATGTGTGCACACAGCACAGTCCTAGAAGCCCCTACTGTGGGGCATGTAAAGGATAATTGACATGATGCCTGTGGTGCATTGAATGGTGTCTCCCTCAAAGATAAGTCCACACCCTAACCCTAGGAACTTGTGTATGTGACCTAACTGAAAAAAAGGCGGGGGGGGGGGGAGTCTTTGCAGATGTAATTAAATGAAGGATCTCAAGATGAGATCATCCTGGATTATCTTGAAGAGCCCCAAGTCCAATGACAAAGAGTGTTCTTTTTTCTAAGGACACTTTTTATGTGTCCCTATAAAAGACCTAAGAGGAGAAAGCCATGTGAAGACTGAAGGCAGGAACTGGCGTAATGCAGCCATAGCTAAGAAATGCCTGGCAGCCCCAGAAGCTGGAAGAAGCAAGAAAAGATTTTTCACTAGAGTCTTTAGAGGAAAACACAGCCCTGCTGATATTTTGATTTTGGACTTCTGGCCTCCAAAACTGTGAGATAATACATTTTTATAGTTGTAGGTCACTTGTTTTGTGATAATTTGTTATAGCAGCCCTAGGAAACTAATAGAATACAAAATTATTTAAATCGTTCACTTTTAAATTTTTACTGGGGATAAACAAAAACATGTTCGACACTCTATTTCACCCTACACAGCCACTCTACCTCCAAGACCTGTCAATCTTACCATCTAAGGATGTCTCAAATCATTTGTATCTTACATTCCCCACTGCCTCTACTTTGGTTCAACCATCTCTCATTGGGCAACTATAGTGGCTTACTCCCAGTCACTCAATCCAATAACCATATTCTCCACAATCAGTCTCCACTCTCCAGCCAGAGGGACCTTTTGGAAACACAGATCTGATCATATCACCGCCCTCCCACTTAAAACCATTTAATGCTTTCATGACATTTTTAGGAATAAGAACAAAATTATTTTCCTGACCTATGAGATCCTGTAGAGTCTAGCCCCTGCCTACCTCTCTTCTGGTTGCACCTGACCCTCCTTGCTCTCTTTATTTAATTTAATTTATTTATTTGAGATGGAGTCTCATTCTGACACCCGGGCTGGAGTTCAGTGGCGCCATCTTGGCTCACTGCAACCTCCACTTCCCAGGTTCAAGCGATTCTCCCCCCTCAGCCTACTGCGTAGCTGGGATTACAGGCACCTGCAGTCATG